TTAAAGTGTTAGAGGTTTGGAGTTTCAACTTAAGGGCAGTAGGCTTCGTTTAGAGGGTTCCTTTGAAGGGTTAGGGTTTAGGGGTTTAGAGTTTAGGGTACATAATAAATAGGGTTCCTTTTGGGGTTCCTTTACAGGGTTACTCTAGGGGCTGAGGGCTTGGGGCTCAGGGCTTCGGGTTTAGGTTTTATGGATTTCGGTTTTAGGTTAAGTTAATATTAAGAGGGTTGGTGTTTAGGGTGTAGGGTTTGCAGAAGCTGTAATGCTTTCAGCACGCATCATGATTAAGGACTGTTGAAGGTGTTGCGATCCTTCACGAGAACGTTTCAAAGTCTGCGCAGCTTAAAGTGCAGGCCGAGACATGCAAGATTAGGGGGTGATGCTTTGAGTCGTGAACATTCCGCAACCCATCCTCCGCACGTCAAGAAGCGCGGGTAGACCCTGAAACCTGCCGAAAAGTCTGATCCGAAACCCCCGGGCTCCCACAAGCCCTTGTAATGCCCCTGCAACAGCACCTCCGATGTAGAGGCCGGCCACATCGGTGCCACAATGAAACACCGCCATGGGTCCCAGGACACGGGCCGGATTCCTGGGAAAGACCAAGCTCCCAGTATGGAAGTTCTATGTGTTGGTTTTGCGGTTTCTGCTTTCAGTTTTAAGGCAGGAATAAACCGAACGAGGTGGCGATGCCGAAATCCTGAAGCATTATAAAACCCATAACCTTATCCTAAACTTTCCTAAACCCTAAACCACAAGCGAAACCCGCCGTGGCACAGAGCCGCTCCGGTGTACTGACCGCCGGATCCGGCGCAGGCCAGCAGCGCCAGACCCACAGCAAAGGGTGTGTGACTGCCATGGCCTGCAATTAGCGCATACACGATTGAGGGCTTTCAAGTTTTAGGGGTTTAGGGAGCGCGGTTTAAGGTTTAGATGTGTATCAGGGTTCTGCGCGGAACAGAAGATTTCTTTAAGGGATGTTTAACGACTCTACCTGGGTTCTATACCTTACTGTAGGGCTTGTTGTGGTTAGGGGCTGCCATGAGGGGATCAACGGATGCAGACCCAGCGCTAGCGATTGCCGCTTACCTCTGAAATTGGTTGCAGGTTTAGGGTTTCAGGCTGTCGGTATACCTGAACCTTCAAAACTCTCAATACTTTTGTTTCAGGCCCTCATAACATGTAAGAGGTATATAGTCTTTTTAAATTTGTCTTTTGGGGGGTGTTACAGCACAGGGATTCTAGAGTTTTGTAGGGTTCAGGCTTGCAGGGCTGGGATCCAATGGGGGACTCCTGGGGGGGTGTAGGAGCCTACGGTTAGACTGTGGGGTTGAGGGTGTGAGCTTTTGGGGTTTTGGGTCTGGGGGGGCCCTTTAGGAATGTAGGGTTGAGGGTGTGAGCGTTTTAGGGTTTTGGGTCTTGGGGGCCTTGGGAATGTAGGGTTGGGGGCATTTACGAAGTTGAGGTTTCTGGCTACCTGGACGCCCCCCAAAAGTATGCAAAATAATGGCCCAAGGCCTTTCAAGGGCTATTCTTCTACATACTTTCGGGGTCCAGGTAGAGAGGTTGCTCCTGTGGTCTTCAGCCACTTCTATGCCGAGAGCTGCGGATCGAGTTCATGGCTTCCGATTGAGTCGGGATGGGTTCGGGGTTCTGGGTTTCGGGTCTAGGGCATACCTTACCCTCCAAAAACTTAACTTGTAGTTTGAGCTCCTTAGTATGATTTCTACAGTGTTGTCCTTCAAGATGAAGTTTTTCAGGGATGAAGGTCAGATTCAGTTTTGGGGGTTCAGGGTTCCCGGATTTGTGGGAGTTGTTTGTTCCCTCATGCCTGGCTTCGCGACGCCGCAAGCATAGACGCACGAGATCAGGGTAAAGGTCATGACACACTCCCAGCCGAATACCTGGAGATGAACATCAGCCAAGGCTTGTCTAGAAGCCCTTAACCCGGAAACCTAAGCTGACTCAGGTTATCTGGAGGACGCTTCTTGGAGGAGTAGTGGCATGAAGACCGTACTTCAGAACTAGCTCTCTGTGGGGCTCGGGGATAAACCATAATAGCCTTAGACCTTAAATCCTGAACCCTAAAAACCCTGAACCCTAAATTTTAAACTGGTGCAGGGACCGACTACCGGCCTGCGCATCCGAGATGTCCGCATGGATCACGGAACGATCGAAGCAGCCAGGGCCGGTTCCGCCGGTGCCGATGAGGTCATCAGCCCCAGGCACCAGCCCCGCCGAGACCCAGGCACCCACGATTGCGCCGGTAATCCTTGGAGCTCTCTGAATATGTATGTATGTATATATATATATATATATATATATATGTATATATACATAGAGAGAGAGAGAGAGAGAGAGAGAGAGAGAGAGAGAGAGAGAGAGAGAGCAGCCATGCCATGCCAGGAACGCTCACCTACCGCAATCGACTTCCATTTTCGTAGAGTGCGTGTCATTTCGTTGTCAATGTTAGCTTACAGGTCCCTTAAGGAATAGATCATACCCGTCCCTTCTCGATGGACGGAAGTGTAAGATGTCAAAGGACCTGTTCGCTAGTACCTCGAAGTTGCTGGCTGGGAGTCACAGGAACAACTTCGCTGACAGCGAAAATAAAATAAGACAACCTGACCCGATAAAATGAAAAAAACCCTAAACCATAAACCCTGGGAAACCCTACTCACAAAGCGGGACTCTGCAGGATAACGTAAATGACAGTGTGGATCACCGGGTAGAAGCCGCAAACTGCGGTGCTGCAGCTCACGGCCGGATTCAGGTGGCCACCGCTGATGTTTGCGGCAACATAGATCCACACGGCCAGGGCGAAGCCATTCACCTAATGCAGGGGCTTGAATAACTAGAACAGGGTTTTGGGGCATATCATACTATACATATAATAATGAAGAGTCACCGAAATTTTACTGGTAACTATTTAGGCCCCTATGTGAGGTTACCCAGACACTCCATAAGTATAGGAGCCCCGTTTGTATCAATGTCGTTCCGGCAAGAACGAAGATCGGAAACGGGTGCTACTGGAGGGCCCAGTGGCAAAAGGAGCAAAGTTGGGAGCGGCAGTTCCACCAATGATCTGGAAGAACATCACACCTAGCTCATGGTTGGGATAGGATTTAAAATGTATTTGTTATTCCTTATTGTGTTTACGTACCCATAAAAATGTAAAATAATACCCAACTTAGACAAAGACACCCAGAAACTCCACAGCCAAGGATACAGCAAACTGGCGTGAAAACACGGACTTGTAGTTCGCGAAGACGCTGTCCTGTTTCCGCACTCTCCCTACATAAACCCTAAACCCTTATAAACCCTACGTTATACCGCCCCGGAAATGCATGGATGTAGCGGCCCAGGGCTGTTGACGTCAACAAACCCGGGGTCGCGTACCAAACATCCTGCCTCCGGCCAAAACCTAAAACCCAAACCCTAAGCTCAAACCCTAAACACAAACCTGTTGATCACTGGGGATCATGCTGGTCTTCACATATGCAGAGCACAGGGGTTTACTGGGCCATCGCAATCGGTCGCTCTACTGTTTTCCTCACGACAGCACCTGTGATGTTCTCAGACTGGCCTCTAAGCTGGTTGGACAAAGTTGCTGAAGCCTTGTGCCTGTTCACGGCTACTGTGGTTTATCTACACATGGAGGCCTCAAGCACTCCTACTCAACTGCCTCAGTCATCAAGACTTAAGCCATCAACATCGTCGCAACATGTAAGCAGCATGACTGTCACACCAACAAAACCCTAAACACTGAAACTCGCTGAATAGCCACGCCTTGCCAGGCTTATGGGTCTTAGGAGATGCTCAGCGAAGAACGCTGGAGTATTAGGACTCAGATGAAAGCACTTCTGCCGAAGTCAAAAGACAAGAACGGGAGTATGTGCAGGGGAATGACAGGCTGTGCCTGCCAATGAACAAAAGCAAAACAGCATCGTCGCAGAGGGAGTTCATTTGGTCTACAAGGTGCCCTAGGCCTAAACCTACCCCTACAAAGCGCTTGGAGGAAGCCTAAAGAGGTGTCTAGAGTTTATGCTTTAACCCGAATCCCATCCTTGTCCACAGTGTCACCGCCTGCTCCCATGGCTTAGACTTCAGAGCCTCCTCGGAGGGACCTTGCACAACTGTGAGCTGCTGGCCCGGTTGATGCCCTTGAGCCACAGATGCATTGAAAGAACAAGCCGTGCAGGGCCGCGATTAAGGCTTAGGGCTTTAGGGTTTTGGAAATTTTGGGGTTTCTGGCTCTAGGGTTTTGTAAAATTTAGGGTTTCGGGAGGACTTCAGAATTTGTGTAAACTGGCTTTTGGATTTTTGTAGATTATGGTGCTTTTAAGGTTTTACAAATATTGGGGCTCAGGGTTTGGGGCTTAGGGCTCTTGATTCCCCCCACTCCGGCCCCACACCTACCAGCTTGGTAGCTCCACACTAGAACCATGTGTATCCCCAATAGTATGGCACCTAGATAAAACTGACCCGAAAAGGGACCGCAACTTAGAATACTACCCGGTACCCATGTGGCTCAGATCTTGGCGCTGGAACTGGTGAGCACGACAAGAGCAGATGTTAACCTGAAACCTGTACTACTATGTTTCCTTCTCCAAGCCCGGTCTATGACCCCAAACCCATGCAGTTCACCGCGAAGCCGTGCTGACTTCGAAACAGCCGCGGAACCTCCAAAGCATCATGTCGTCTAGCTTCTTCCGTAAGTCCTCATAGTTGTTTTCCGATTGAGTCAGCAGGAGCTACTGATTGGAACGCATGAAACCCTCAAAAATCTGAACATGTATCTGGGGACCCCCACCAACCCTGCAAGCTTTACACGGAATATGGTTTTTTTGGGGCTTATCATACTAGAACTATAATGAGGAACCCCCCAGATTGTATTGGTAATCATTTAATTTAGGCCGCTAAATGTGGGCCTAGGGTTCGGATGGCATCGTAGAATTAAACCCTCAACCCTAAACCCTAAACCACGACTGCCGGCGCCGAACCTCGGCTGTGTCAGTTCGCGAGTCCTCCTGGACTGACGGAGTGGCCTCGAGTGCTTCGAGGTTCATGGGTAGTTTTAATTTAAGTAGGGTTCCTTTAATGTAGAACCCATAGTTCGACTGAACTCCGGTACGGTTTAGGGTTTGAGGTCGCTAAAACTTCATAGGAACGAGCCACTCTCGCACGTCGTGAAGCCAGAGGTGCAGTGGGTAGTTATAAGTACAGCTCCTTTAAGGGCTCTATAGGATTTAGGGGATAGGTTATAGGATTATAGGGTTCATGGGTAGTTTTAAGTAGGGGTCCTTTAATGGCTCTGTCGGATTTAGGGTTGATTATGGGGTATAGGATTATAGGGTTCATGGGTATTTGTAAGTGGGGTTACAAGTCACCTAATCTGGGCTATAACTATAGTTACCCTACTTATAACTCCTCTCACAACTACCCACGAACCTCCAAGCGACATTACCATGAACGGGTCAACCCTCGACAAAAGTCAGTCTTGAACTACACGGGCTTAGGGATTGGGGCCGGCGTATTTTTGTTAGGGTTTAGGGCCTAGGGGTTTTGGGTTCTAAACCCATAGTTCGAATGAACTCCGGTACGGTTTAAGGCTTGAGGTCGCTAAAACTTCATGGGAACGAGCCACTCCCGCACGTCGTGAAGCCAGAGGTGCAATGGGTAGTTATATGTACGGCTCCTTCGGCCTTCAAGGGCTCTCTAGGATTTAGGGTTCAGGGTATAGGATTATAGTGATGATTTCAACAGGGCATGGATTTACGAGCAATTGGAACTCGATGTTGGGTGCACGTTTCTGCACTGGGCCGTCAAAACATCAGCTGTTGATGGCAAACTGCGGCCTAAACCCTAAACCGTTAACCCTAAACCCTACATTCTTAACCTTAAACCCTAAACCCTTAACCCTAAACCCTACATCCTTAACCTTAAACCCTACACCCTTAACCTTAAACCCTAAACCCTTCACCCTACACCTGAACACAATGAACCGAGAGTCCCTAAAGTCCCTAAAGTACCATGAGAGTCGACACGGAGCTCTCCGACCAGACTAGACCCCGAACCCGTAAGCCGGAAACCAACAATGGTCCGAACGACCGGGTAAAGGTTTAGGGTTCAGGATTTAGGGTTTACGGCTTCGTTAGGATGTTTTGAAGTGTACTGGCCCTTTACCCGTGCACTTTCAACCAAAAAGCCCTTATGAAACCGTAAACCTTAAATCCTGAACCCTAATCCTTTACCCGGTGGTTCGGTTCATTAGGGTTTAGAGTTTAGGGTTATTACCCTAAACCCTCATCCCGACACTAGAGCGTAGAACCCTAAATGCCGTTCGAACAATCGAAACCCCAAAGCCCTAAACCAAAACCCTGAACCCTGAACCCTAAACCCCTAAACCCCTAAACCCCTCAACCCCTAAAAAAACGCTAACAAAAACCCAAAACCCCAAAACCATGCACGTGAAGCCCGAGACCAATGTACAGGGCTCGCCTGTCCCTCTCCGGAGAGCTCTTGAGAGTCCTCCCCTTTCCTCAGCATTTTTTCGTGTGGTGTGCGTTTTAGGGTTTAGGGTTTAGGGGCTTTTGGAGTTTTTTTGCTACCTTTTTTGAACTCCTTTTTGCATCTGCCCCAAGGGGTTTTTGGAGTTTAGGAATTCGGGGACTTACGTTTCAGATGTCTTGGAGCTGGGGATTAAATTTTGGTTTTGAGGGCTTTAAGGCATCGAGGCTCAGGTTAGGTTGGGGTCTTGGGGCACCCCATCTCTACTTGGAGGTTCACGGGTAGTTAAAGTGAGTTTAGAAGTAATAAGTAGGGTCACTCTAATTGCAACCCACATTAGGGGTTATAACCATACCTTACACAATGTCTGGTCTTGGGTGTTGCGGATTGAGCTTCTAACGATTCGCAGACTTCGGCAGTTTGGGTTGTGTGTTCACGTCGAGGGTTTCTTGAGGTTTGCGGTGTTGGGATTGCTCCACATCGACGTCAGAAGTGCAAGTTAAGTGCAAGTTCCGTGCCCGCAATGCAACATTGCCAGCAGCCGGTTACAACTTAGCTCTTCCTCTTTGGACAGATCTGCAGACTTAGCAAAACTCCAAATGGCTACCTTCTTGGAGGGCTTACATAAGGAACTCATAATTAGGAACTCTAAATTCGGTAGGCTCTGAGGGTTCAGGTCTCCAGGTACTGTCACCGACATGTTTCTCGGCCAGCAACTCACTCACGAAGCTCCGAGGTCGTGGCTTGTCTTTCCTTTTCTTGCTGCCCTTCCTCTTTCTCGTGTTGGACGAAGCATCCTGAACGTGTGCAGATGTCTGGGCCTACAACATAATCAGGGATGATCACCAACACGAGAGAACTTGGTTGTGCATTTGCACCTGTGCTTCTTAGTGTAAAGTCCGAGCTACGGCCGCTCATGTAGTACTCCAACTACTGACAGTTGAGATCACTGCCACTATTACTTGCATATCGCTGCTACATCTTGGCTAATGGCAGGGGTTAAACCGATGTAGGTGAACGTTGTTGTCCTGCCCTGCTTCAGCTTAGACGACTTGGTTTCTATGCAACAAGCAATGTCGCTGTAGACTGCGATGCTTCAGTTACAAAGGCCGCACTTGCTATGGGATGCAGAACCCCTTTTTGACAGAGTACATACTTGCAATATAACAGCAGAACACCAGACAAATGCTATCATTCCGCATGCTCCGGGGATCCAGTCGGCCCAAGGACACTTAGGACTAAGGTTTGTATCTCGATTGATCTGCAGACCTCCACTCGGTACTATAAGAGCTTCACTCTCATGCCCTCCTACAAAGGTCTCATACAGTTTTACAAGCACGCCCTGCACTGAAACAAACCTACATAAAGTATCCCTCATTCTCAGGTGAAGGGAACCCTCAAAGCCCCAAACAGCTCGCGAGGCCCGGACCGAGGCACCCGAGACCGAGGCCGCGGAAGTGGGCCGATGGGGGGTCGCCGGCTCGGGGGGTGGGGAACTCTCCTGGCAGTTTAGGTTTGTTTAGGTTTTAGGGTTTTAGGGTTTAGGGTTTAGAGTTTAGGGGTTCACAGGTTTAAGAGTTTAGGGTTTTAGGGGTTAGGGCTTAATTAGGGGTTCAGGGGTTTAGGGGTTCAGCGTTTCTGGCTTAGGGTTTAGGGCTTAGAGTTTTGGGCTTAGGGTTGTGTGGTTTGGCTTACGGTTTAGTGATTTAGTGTTTAGGGGTCGGGTTTGTGCAAAGGCTATAAACAGCTTTTGCAATGGCTCCATCAAGGGTAGATTGACTCTCCTGAGCATTAAGTTCGTTGTTTATCTTTGGTTTGGATAGGCTAATAGGGTTTTACGGAACCCTTATGGTTTCCTTTTGGAGTTCCTTGAAATTGGGCCGGCTTATAGGATTTAGGGTTTAGGGGTTTGAGGGTTTCAAGGGTTGGGGCTTCGAGGTTTCAGGGCTTCCGACTTTAGGGGTTTCGAGACTTCAAATTATGGTGTTGGGGGGTTTTGGGTACAACCCGTAGTGCAAAAGCATTCGTGAAATGCTGTACGAACTCCAAACAAAATCAAGTTGTCGATCGAGTTGCAATGCGGAATCTAATCAAGGGGTATGCTTGACGTTGAGCATAAGCCCTAAGTCCCACTGAACCCCAAACACGGAGAACCACATATCAGCGAGTTTTGAGGCCGGAATAATTAGAACATTGTCTTGGGGTATATTCTCGTACTTTTGTGGGGGCTACGCAGGAAGATTAAACTCCTGTATTTAATCCTATTCGAAACCGTAGTATAAGCTCTAAACCCGAGATTAGCCTTGCGTATCCGCTTCCCGTACCTCCTCCTCACTCTGCGCGAGCGGATCGGACATGGCCTTTTTCCTCAAGGTCTCCTGGAGAACACCGGGAGGATTGAAACTGGGTTGACCTTCTGTTTAGGGTCACTCTGCAGCCTAGAATCCTAGAAGGGCTGCTGCATGAGGATGGCTGTCAAGGCCACTGTATAGGCTAGGGGTTAGGAGTCAGGGGTTTTGGCGTATGTGTTCAGCTTCCTCGAATATGGAGAGATTTCACTACCTGTCACGGCCCCAAAGGCACGACCGCAAAAAGAGGGGTGTGATATTCTACAGTTTTGTGTTGCGCCCAAACTGATTGGCGGTGCGGATCCGATTGAAGCAGCAACATGGACGGCGAACACAAGTGACGGTGATAGAAGAACGCGCTCAGCAACAGGAACGGCTGCAAAGACGACAGATGCAGCTAAGCCAGTCACGAGCACATTACCGCCACTGCCACCGCCACCCCCGCCACCGCAACCCCCACTGCCAAGACCAAAACCAAAACCAAGAAAAAGACCAAGACTAGAAAAAGACCAAGACCAAGACCACCACCACCTCAACGATTCCGAAACGGACGAGAACGAGGACGACCACGACCTTGACCAACACAACGATCCTTGTTGGGAACCGTCTCAATTCTAAACCTAACAACTGACCCTTAAACCCTAAACTCCTTTTGTTGGCTCATGTATGTTGATCGAAATTCCTTAATCGTATTAATCAAGGGATGTGGGGCTCTGGGTATTAACCCTAAACCCTAAGCCCGGAACCCTAAGCTCTAATGTAGGGGTTTGGGGGTTCCTTCGAAAAGCCTATTCTAATTATTGAGGCATTCAAACTCCCTCAACCCTAAACTCCAGAACCCTACACTCTACCCTCGGCCCTTCTCCTGAAGGTCGACATCCCCTGGTCGGATGGTCGGATCTTTCATTCCCAGGTGGTCTTTGTCCATCCAAGTACTGGGCGATCGACATGCTCAGGCTTTTGGGAAAGAAAGTTTTATAGGGGTTTCCGGGATTTGAGCTTACAGTTTTAGACCTACCATAGTTTTGGGCCTTGGAATATCGGATGAATGGTTTCTGGTGTGCGGCTCAGGGTGGTTTACACAAACAACTCACATCGGCGCAACTCCTGCTCAGAGATGCAAGGGTGCTGTTGAAGGGCTTCATACAAACAACGAACCCAGACCTAGACTTACAAGTACTGTACCTGTTCAAGATACTCTGACCCCGCTTAGCATGCATGGCGCAAAGCCCCCGCTCCCACCCTGTAGCCAAAAACCAATAGAGGAACCCTTAAAGGCACCCTTCCAGGAAGCTTTCAGAATCCTTCGAGCACCCTTGAAGGAGCCCTTTCAAAGGTACTTAAAGGGACCTCTAAACTCTAAACGAACCTTTGAACGAACATTCAAAGGACGCCTTCAAGGAACCCCTAAGGGATCTATGGCTGAGCTTTGACTGGGAGAGACCCATTGGACGCAGATGCCGTGATGTTAGGTTAAAGAACCATAAACCATACTGATGACGACAACAACAAGAACTATAGTAGTGAAACGTAACAGAGATAAGAAAAGTCACCATAGTGCAACAATAGCAAGAATGACAGAAGTAATAACCGCAGCCATGAGAAATAGCAATGATAAGCAAAGTCATAATCATAGTAATGATGCTAAGAATCACCGATGGACTGACTAGACCACAAATCAAACAAAGCCTGAGCCATGAAAGCCTAGACTTGAAGTCCTCAAACAGACGGTTGTGGAACCCATGCTCCTCAGGGCCCCAACTCGGCCTAAACCCCCAGGCCCTAGGCCTTTATACCTAAACCCCCAAACCCTAAACCCCCAGACCCTGAACCGCCAAACCCTGAACCCCTACACCCTGAGCCCCTACATCCTGAACCCTAACCTTGTGGAGCCGTTGCTTTTTAGGCCCCAGCTCGGCCGAGAAGACCTTGACACCACCCGCCGGCGGGACCTTGCCTGGCCAACTCGGAAGTTTATGGTAAGTTGGACTATAAGTAGGGTAATTAACTTGAATTACAAACCAGATTCGGGGACTGATAACTACACTTATAGTGAACCACGAACCTCCAAGAACGCGCGGAGGCTGAGGACTTGGAATTTCAGAGTTTGGGGTTTACGGGTTCAAGGTTAGGGGCTTAAGGGTTTAGCGCTTAGATTTTGCCTTCGGGGTTCGAGGATTTTAGCATTCAGGGGTGCCGAAGTTTCGGTTGTTCTTGCGTCAGGTGGCAGGGGATTGGGAAGTCGAAGGCAGTGACTCCTACCTGGGCTACCATACTAGGAGTCCCGACGAAGCTTTAGAGACGACAGGTTTTGAGGACGACAAGGTGTTGGAAACCTTTGGTGTTTACACCTGTAGCGAATTCCAGTTGTCTGTCGGGTTTTGGCTTGGTGCAGGGTGAGGGATCTCGTGCCGTGGCGGAATAGTGTTACATCTATTCTCAGCAGCCCCCTGAAACCCAAACTGATCTACAACAGCCACATCACATGATCATAGCACTAACCAAGGTAATGGTCAACATCGCAATAGTCACAAGAGGTATTCTTGCTAAAAGCAATAGTACGAAGCACAAAGAATCACAGTAACCATCAACCGCTGGCAGGAAAACTTTGGAACACAGCCATGGCAATGCTAAACAAACAAGGAAAGTCGTGATGGTATTGGCTAGGGTAGTATTGATACAATACATCATGGCAAGGGAATTGTGTTTGGCTATTGCAACAAACACTGACTGTAGTAGCAAAAGAACAGAGTAATACGATGTCACAATCATGATACCACTCCTACTGCGGCGACGGCCACGACGACCGCGAAGACAACGACCACTTCAACTGCCACTGCTACACATAGAAATGACACTGAACTTGATGACAACGGTGACACGTAAAGTAATCATGCAATAAGCATGTTGATACTTTCAATTCCGCATACCGTAATACCCAACGGGACAACAATAACGATAACAATACAGCAACAATATTCATACCAGAATATTCACGACAGTAGTACTGTAAAGATAACTTACTTCCAGGAGCAATAATACCAGCCAGAATACTTGTACAACTTATAACATGAAAGGTTAGTAATCACAGCTATGTTCGTACGTACTTAATGAGAACCGTACTACCAACACTTTAGCAACAACAACAACAACGATAATACTGCGGTTCATACCCAATAACAGTACCAAACATCAACATGATTATAATACCGTGTAATCACAGCCATGACGGTGCAAGTAAGGCGGAGATTGCATCAACAAATATGACTTAACTCATGCTTATGTCAGCTCCGCCTTTCAGGGTGTCCGTGCCCGAGGCCGGATGCCGCGTCAAGTGGAACGACCTCTTAGGCTTCCCTAGGGCTCCAGTTACCAGGGTTTAGGGTTTGTTAAGGTTTAGGGTTTAGGGGTTTAGGGTTTAGGGTTCAGGGTTTAGTGATGTATCCCTAAGGCTCCAGTTACCTAAATAGTAGGTTACTAACCATATAATATAGTATATGACCCTGTAACCCAATATTTAGGTAACTGGAGGTTTAGGGCTTTAGAGATCAGAGATGTGGTACGGTTGATGATATCAATCCTGCCTTACCTCTAATGAGAAATATACCATAATTCCCATGAAGTGGGATCCAAGGGTTTCAGGTTTAGGGTGTTAGGGTTTAGGATATAGGAGTCTAGGATGTGTGTGTTTAGGGTTGGTTCAGGGATTCAAGGTTTAGGGATTGAAAGGTGTAGTTTGGGGCTTAAGGTTTTATACGGTTCGTGTTTAGGGCTGAGGGGTTGACGGTGAAGGCTTCTGGGGATTTCACGATTAGGAGTCCAATGTCGGGGTCTTCGTAATTCTAAGAGAGTTTGGCGGTAGACTATTATCACATAAGTCACATAAGTCAAGAACGAGGCTGGGGGGTTCTTTTCTTTGAGGAGGGAGGAGAGGGAAATGAGGGGTAACGTTTTGTTGTTCTGGCAGCAGGGCCCTCAGATCAGTTGAAGCTCCGAACGTCACTGCCACCTGGGCTCCCGAATCACCTGTCCCAGAAGCAAAGTTCAGGATCGGAACTCAACTTGAAGGGACCAGGCAAGACCCGTCTGCAAGTCAAACACCAGCATTTACCACAGACTTGAAACTCCAGAACCGTAACCACCCTTGATGTGCCCACGATTGCAAATCATGGCGAAGTCAGCTTCAGGAAACCAAGGCATGCATTTTGGTTTGAGGCTTTAGGTTCGGGTTTATAGGGCTCAAGCTCTAGGGTCCGGGTTTTGCGGAATACTTTGAGTTCAGCCCGCAGTTAGAAGCTCACAGGCCCAAAACTCAAGAAAACACAAGTTGAAACTTTCGGAATCGACTACGTTATAAGAACCCCAAAAGTTGAAAAGTTGAGTTTACAGCCAATAGAAGCACGTGCCAAGGCCCTTGCGCGGTCATGGTCACTTTGCGCTTGTCTTCTGGAAGCCGCACGAGGGACTCCTGCAACGGAGACATCCACCCTAAACCCCAACAAAACCCGCCAAAAAATCACTGAAACCCTGTAAACATACCCCCTATAGACCAAAAACAACCCTATCATCCTCATAAGCCCTAAACCCGACAACCACCTCGATATTACATCCTGCAACCACCGTGAAGCCCCGAAGCCCTAAACCCTATAACCACCCTAACTATCTCTAAATCCTACAATCCCCATAAGCCCTTGAAGCTCGAAGCCCTAAACCTGCAGGAAACCCAGAGCTTTGGGTCTCCTATAGCCTTGATCTCTGGTGGTGTTTGGCTAAGGGCATTAGGCTTTAGGATTTACGGTACTTGTATAGGGTTAAGGGTTAGGCATTAGGGTTTACGGTATTTTTTAGGGTTTAGGGTTTACGGTATAGAGTTAAGGGTTAGGGTTTAGGGTTTGGGGCTTAAGAGCATTGAGGGTTGGCAGGCCCTGCACGTTCCATATTCTGGGAATAAGGGTCACTTGAACCCTAGCAGAAGCAAGAGGCCTTATGGATTGACCAAAACATTCGTTCAGGCAGCAAGTTGCGGATTCTGGCTTCGTATGTCGGGCTGAACGAGCGTTTAGGATCGATTGTTTGAGCTTAGACTACAGGTTTAGGGTTTGGGGAGCTGCGATGTAGGGGTTGGGGTTTAGGGCATTGGCGCTGGAGTCTCAGACTGAACCAGACTGTCGGGCGCAGAACTGCTGAGAAATCATCATCGGTTGAGGGTTCAGGATTTAGGGGTTTAGGGTTTAGGGGTTAGGGGTTTAGGGTTGAGGGGCTTAGGGTTTATCTCATTGTGGCTGACATCGGCATGATTTTTACCAGCGCGGTTGCCGCTGTTGGAAGTCTGAAAAAGCAGTAAGTATTCCGCCTCTAGAAATTGACAGACCGCGATTGCGGAAGTGTTTCTGGCCATTGCTTCTGGCAGCTGTTAACACTGAATGCCAATGCTAGTACAACGAGGAGATTATGTGTCATCAGCATGCCAACTTCTGGCAATCTCACCTGCGGTTGGTGTCAGTTGGACGCCACCTGCAACCCAAACGTCTACATAAGACCCTCAGACAAGAAGACCCCAAACCGGATCTTGTTGTACTCTACCCTTCCAAACGCCCTGGAGTCTAACCCCAAACTCTGAAACGTTGGTTAAACCCAAGAAAACCCTAACCCCTAAACCCTCACATCTTGCCCCACAAGGACGTTGAGGTCAAGCCAAGCCTGAAACCGGGCCCTTGGTTCCGAGTTTGGGGAGGATTTCAGATTCCGGGGTTTGGGTCTAGGCTTTTGTGGTCAGACACTTAGGGTGTACTTAGAGGGTCGCGGGACGTAGTAAGTAGGTAGTAAGTAGACTTACAAGTAGCCAAAAAGGGACCCTAATTGGGGTTATGGTACTTGTAAGTCCCTAAAAAAACCAGTTGCTAAGTCCCCCGACATTATAGTACCCTTATAGATCCCTTATAGTAGCCCCTATAGACCCCTTTAAAAGGAGCCCTTTAAGGGTTATTAAGTCCCCCGACATTCCAAGTAGGGTTGCAGGGTTTGCGGTCTTGGAGTTGCAGGACTTCACTTAAAGTCTTTATCATCCACTACCGCTAGGCCAGTACTTAAAAGCCTGAACCCTAAAACCCTAAACCCTAAACCCTAAACCCTAAACCCCAAACCCTACAGTACTTAAAAACCCGAAGGGGCTATAACTTCTACCGTCCTTCGCAACCTGCTCGGAGGACTTGTCGTAGAAAGTGTACATGGGCTGCTTCTCGTAAGGAATGGCCTCTGGCACGAGCTGCTGTGCGGATGTAAGCTTGAAAGCTGGGCGGCCTAGGGTTGGGGGAAACCTGTGCCTTGATTCAGAGGGTTCTCTGGGTTTAGTTTTTTTTTTTAAAGTGCAATGGGCCTTTTCTGCAGAGGCTCCGCCGTCGGGGTTTAGGGATTAGGGTTTAGAGGGTTGTCTTGTTTTATATAGGAGTTTCCGAAAATTAGGGGTACCTTATTCTGGGTCCTTCTAAAAGGAACCTACTATTTAGTGTACTCTATTCGGGTCCCCTATTTTCGGAAACCCCCATATGGCTTTTTGTAGGGCTTAGGAGCTGAAGCATCAGAGCTTCCTTCAAACACCTCTTGGCCCGAAAGCCGAAACCGGCAACCCTAAGCTCCCATTTCTAACGCACACACACACACACACACCCTAATTACGGGGTGGGTGGAGGGGCGGCCTTGCGATCGGGCGTGTGTCGGCACCGTCTAGACCCTGGTTCCAGAAAGCAGCGCGCTGTTGGATCGAGCCCAACCTTTATACTCAAACCCAAACTTGCAAACCGCAAACCCCAAACTCTAAACCCTAACCCTAAACCCCAAACTCTAAACCCTAAACCTGCATTGAGAAGCCGGCCCAAGCAGCCAAAGTTCCATCTTCTTTGGAATGGGGGCAAGTGCTCCTTGTCAAGTTTCGGTTTTGCTGTTGTTTTTTGGAGGGGAGGGGGTTTACGGTTTAGGGATGGTTTAAGGCTATAGGGCTTAGGGTGTAGAGTTCATCTCTACACCCTAAGCCGCAATGTTGCTTCGTACTTGTGAAGCCAGGGGCTGATCGTGATTAGGTGCACTACTTAAAGGATCATGGGACCTAGTAACTAGGGTTGTAATAGGGTAACTAGACTTATAACCCCAATTAAGGTACTTATAACCTTATTTACTAAGTCCCATGATCCTCCAAGTATGCACGTGCTTGCATTCTTATGTGAAGCCGGCACGGGCTTTCTTAAGCACAGGCTGCTTCCACAACATGTCTCGTATCCAGCTCAGACTTAAGAATCACGGTGGGCTTCCATCCTGAACTTCCAGCTTGCCTAATATCGAGGCCAGAATCATTAGACTAGCATTTGGGGTATATTGTACTATGAAAATCCAGGGACTGTAAGGGGACACTACTTGTAATGATTCCGACCCTTATGCTAACCTTTGGGTAGTTATCTAAATTGCGGTCTCGTTGTAGAAACCCCAAAGAAGGCGGCACCCTCATGTAAAGGACCCCCCAAATGGACCCTAATTTACGGAACGACCCTTATATTATCTACCCTAAACCCTATCTAAGCCCTAGGCCAAACCATAAACGGTACCACATACACTACCTGAGCACAACCCAAACCCTAAACCCTAAACCCTTAAACCCTAAACCCTGCCCTGCAAATCTCCTGAACTCGGTCTCCGCTTGCAGGGAGCCGTGCTCCATGCGTGAAGAGCCCCAGCGTGTCCTCGGAATTTCAGGATCCAGGGATTTTTTTTTTTGTTTTAAGGGCTCTTTTCCGTCTGATTTAAGGCTCAGGGTTTTGGGGAGGTTATAGACCAAACCCGAGCCCACCAACCACCTGACGGCGAGCAGCCTCAGGAAAATCCCACAAGACAAGGCTGCATTGTTTGCGGTGATCAAGGCTTATAAGTATCATAACCCCAATTAGGGTCCCTTTTAGCGTACTTATAAGTCTGCTTACTACCTACTTACCAAGTCCCCCGACCCATCCAAGTACTCTAAACCCTAAACCCCAAACCCTATACCCTTATAGAATCCCTATAGATCCCTTTAAAGGAACCCCTTATACTTACTAAGTATATGATCATGAGGTCCCGGCCCGATGGACTGCTGTGCCGTCTGAGCAAGCTGCTCCTTGGGCAGGCATGGATCGAAGCCTGCTTGTCCCCTAGGGGAGCTTAACGGTTAAACTTTGAGGTTATACAGGAGTTACAACACCACAACAGGGTTGAATACATGGATAGATAAATAGCATCTACATGGAGAAAGGGACAAGATGTATACATACCTGCATATATACTTATATATATATATACTTATATATATATACATATATATATATATAATGTACCACTATATCACATACACACACATAGATAAATTTGTACGCATGTATGGAAGTATGTATGTTTGTATGTATGTCTGTGTATGAATGCCTGCAAGCATACATGCACATGTCTGCATTTTCTCATGCACACAACTTTGAGTATGTCTCTTTCTCTCTGTTGGTTTGTGCTGCCATGGCTCGGCCGAATCGACGGCCTCTTGCGGCCTCTTGTCCTGGGCCATCATCTGGATAGTGGGGGGGCGGGGGGGGGTGGTATATGCTTTTTTGTAGGGTTGTAAAGAACGCCTGCGATCAAACTGATTGATGAGCTTTACTAAAGCTGTTTTAGTGGTGACAACAGAACGAGTGCCAGCAGCTTCTTATGGATAGTAGTAGCAGCTTGAGCATGGTAGGCATGGAAGCTACAGCCATGGCTATCTAGCTCAAGGGTTTAGTACACGCTGGAGGCTGTCAGAGCGTTCCACGGTTCTTAGTCTTAGAATTCCGCGTTTGACGCTTTATGACCTTGCGAGTACTTGCAGAGAATAGATTCGGTGCAGAACCAGTCCGAAATGCAAGTGAAGATGCACGAAATCTTGGGGATAAGGCTTAAGGTGTGTACGATTTCGGGTATTTTCTTGGTGGCCGAAATACTTCAGAGTCCTCCTCCGCTTCGCCAATATCCCCGTACTTGGAGGGTCGGGGGACTTAGTAAGTAGGTAGTAAGTAGACTTATAAGTACCCCAAACGGGACCCTAGTTGGGGTTATCGTACTTATAAGTCCCTAAACTAACCAGTTACTAAGTCCCCCGACCCTCCTAGTAGAATCCCTGTAAACTCGAAACGAGCACGTTCCTAGGCATAGCTTGCATCCCGCAATCAGTCGTTGCAGATTCCTCCGCTAAGTTAAGTTTTCACACCACGGACAGACTGAGAAGGAACTTACAACAACATCTGTTTTTGCGTGTTCCTGGCCGGAAGACAGAACGAATCCGAGACATGCCTACAGTGTTATTGTTGGCAGTCCGGATGGGCCAATTCCTAAGCGACTGTATAACAGCCTCCTAGGCCAAGCTGGGAGGATGGGGGGTGTACAGACAATCGCCAAACTGTTCAGCAACAGTGTCCTAAAACTATTGATGGTCTGTGGCTGGTCTCGAACACGGAAAGGTCACGATCGTCCCAAACGATTAAAATATGTATAGAATAATTCCACCCAAAACGTTATTTAGGCCCCTATGTTACCCAGGCCCTGTAGCGGAGGAAGCCCCAAACCCACTGCCGGAGAGTGCCGGCAAGCGGCCATGGTGTTCTCGCCCCACCTCAGCCGTCTGCACCACTGATTAGATAGGATGTTTGATAACTGAAATTTTGTTGCGGAGTAAACTATAATACACTTCATGCGGGCCAAAAGGGTTAATTGACCCTACTGATTACAACCGCTATATCAGCCTCACTGGCAATCCAGCGCTCGGAACATCAGCTAACCACCAACAAATTAAAATCTATCATACACCCACTTGGAGGTTCCTGGGTAGTTAGAAGTTGGGCCCCAAAACCCAGTCGGAGGAGTACAGAGGGGGCTTTGAGAAGAGCTCGGAGGAAGTTTGGGGCTTCCAACACTGGCCATCGATTCCGACAGGGCACGCAGGTTTAGGGCTTCATTTTAGATAGGTCCTGTATAGGGAACCGAAGTTCTAGGGTTCAAGGTTCTAGGGTTTAGGGTCTTCCAGGTTCTGAATTCAGGGTGTTCGGGTCAACAGGGTTTAATTTTAGGTCTTAGGTGTAGACAAAATCACTTGCCTTTTTGAGGGCTTATATAAAGAAACCATCATAAGGAACCTTGAAACCTTAGTCTAATCGAAAGCTACACCGCCGGCTCAAGGTCGACAGGGTTTAGGGTTGAGGGGCTTAAAGGTTTGGGGTTTCGGGGTTTAGGGGTTTACAAACACAAACCTTTGTAAAGCTTTCTCTGAGGCCCCGTCGGATCCGAGAGCTCAAAGTCATCCCCCTCAAGGTTGCTTGCCAGGTACCTGGATTATGGAGTGGGTGAAGGGTTTAGGATTTAGAGTTCAGGGTTCTTGCAGATGAGGGTTTAGGTTTTGAAGTTTGTGGTTTGGGGTGTAAGGCTTGACCGAATTACTGTTCTCTAGGAGTACTAAAATTATTAACGTACCGGGTCATAAGACTCACGATGAGTCTGACTATAGTATTCATGTGATTGTGGTAGCATATGATTCTTAAGGCTGCTATACTATATTTTCAATGCACTCCAAGTCTCATGCATTTAAGGTAAGAGCTCCGACCTCTGACGGTCGTGCAAAGCTTATAGCTTAGGGTTTGGGGTCGAGAAGCTGGGGGTTTAGAGCTGTTTATGAGGATTTCGGAATACAAGTTTGTTGCTACGGACCTACGGCTATGCTTCCCTCGTTGTCCGTTTCCCGTGCAACACTAGGCTGGCTGACATCGCGATTCTGTGCCTGGGCCAAGCATCCTAAGGCCTCGGAGACAGTATGTGAGTATGTTTCCTTAGTGCTCCAGAACACTTACAAACCGTACCTTATGTACTCCAGTAACCCACATTTAGGCAACCGGAGCCCTTGCGTTTAAGACATGTTTTAAGAGGTAAAGGCTGTGACAAGAGTTCCGCTTTGAGGGTGATTGCGCCAACTGTGCTGGGCAACATGGGCTGCATTCATCAGAACACTAAAGAGATGACAATAGCTTATGATAACACTCATCATCATCACCACCATCGTCGTCAACAACATCATCATCATCGAATTGGCATCATCATCTCCTTCTGCATGAACAGACAAGCCACAACGACAACGAATGCAAACACAACTGCAACTTCCGATGGAAGAAACATGATCACCATCGGTCTTTTACAAGGCGAACACTGCCATAGACGCAGGTCACGAGTCCGCCATGCTGCCGACGTTGACCTGGCAGCAGAACGGCATCGAACTGAGGTCCTGTGATCCAGGCTAGATATATGACTACCTGCCTGTGCATGGTATGCTGATGCTACAAAGCGTCGTGCGCTTTTACCCGTGAGTCAGTCGACACCCCAGCTAGACCCCCCCCCCATAATTACCTTAGGCGTCCGGCAGCACCTACAACTATTAAGGTTTCTGATTTATATGGTTCGTATGACCCTCTACCGCCTCTCAGCTGAGCGAGATTCCTTCGACGATGGCTAGCTATGCGACACCTTGACACACCACCAGGATATCTGTCCTCCGTGAAACGACCCTAAGCACGCAGGGTGTCGTGCGTTTGCACCGGCTGACCGCACTCGTTACCCGAGCAGGAAGCGAGCTTTTCGGCCTTGGACTTAGGTGTCCACAAAACCTGTTGTGGGCTTTGGACGTACGGGGTTGATTCTTAGAGTTATTTGGGTTTAGTGCCTCGGGTCGCTAAAACCTGAGAAAATCCTCTGCCTAGCTCTTCAGAACACCCCCTCGACCACGCACCCTCCAGCCTATACCCTAAAACCTCAGAAGCCCTGAGCCGAAACCGTTAACTGCCTAAGCTCTTGTAGGGCAGCCTAGTGACATTGCAAGTAACCTTTGCAGGAACCTTGGAATTGAACCTCCCCGCCCCCACATTCTCCGAAGAGCCTGAGCAAAACCCTAAATCCTAAACTCTAAACCCCTAAACCCTAAATTCTAAACCCCTAAACCCCTAAACCCTAAACCCTAATCCCTATGTAAACCCTTGAGGAGCCTGAGCACTGGGGATGATGTCCCGATCCAGGCGTGCAGCGGCCACAAAGGGGCCGACCTCTTGTTTGCGTACTATAGGACTATAGGGGCCTTAAAAATTAGAATTGTGTTTGAGGGGGCATATTATACAATATGATTATCATAAGGAACCCCAACATAGTATAGGTAATTGTTTTGGCCCCTATAGTAAGCAGGATCGTTCCAAGGATCCTGCGCATTGCAGGTTTCGGGTTTATTGGTTTGATGCTTTGGTGTCTAGTAGTACTGAAGGCTCATAGAGTTTATCTCACTGGTCAAAAACTCAAGGAAACACAAGTTGAAACTTTCAGAATCGACTACCTTATAAGAACCCCAAAGGTTAAGAAAACAAAAAACAGTTTACAGCCAATACGTGATAGGGCTTAAGGCTTTAAGGCTTAAGGGTTTTAGGGTTTACGGGTTCGTGTTCCCAGTGGAGTGCTGCTTTTGGGAGTGCACGATCCTCAGAAGTTGCGGTGTGCGCTGATGGGCCTCAGGAGTTTGTGCAGAATGTCAGGGGCCTTAATAATTAGAATACGGCTGAATAGGAATAGGGTTTTGGGGATCATTGTACTGTATATGATATAAATTATATATAAACTATAATGAGGAGCCCACAAAATAGCATTGGTAATCATGAAGCTCACGGCCCCGGCCCGAAATAACCCAAACTCTAACCCTATGAGCATAAAGCTAAACAGCCCAAAACACCAAATCCAATCACTCTACAGCCCTAACCCCCTGAACCCTGAACCCTGAATCTAGCTAGAAACCCTAGAAACCCGATAAAGCCTATAAAACCCCAAATCCCTAAACCCCAAACCCCCTAAACCCCTAAGCCCTCAACCCCAAACTCAAAACCCTAAACCCCTAAACCCCAAACCCCTAAGTCCTCAACCCTGCAGCCCTAACCCACTAAAGCCGCTGGCCTCTCCCAAGCGGAAGCGACTGTTTGGATCCTCCACCTGCACGAGCACATTTTTTGGGCTAAGGGAGTTTAGGGTTTAGGGGTTTGGGGGTTTAGGGGTTTAGGGTTAAGGGTTTGAGGTGTTCGGGTGTTTAAGTCGCTTAAGGGTTTAGAGTATCGGGTTTTCGGGCGCTTAAGTTTAGGGCTTAGTTTAAGGTTTAGGGTAAGCTTTGGGGTTTCAGGGTTAGTGTTTTTTGGCCACGCGGCTGAGAGCAACGGTATACTTTTCTCTTAGGATGTAAGGCTCAGGATTTTGAGCTGGAGGCCCCTATACCCTAGTAGTAGTAGTAGTAGTAGTAGTAGTAGTAGTAGTAGTAGTAGTAGTAGTAGTAGTAAGTAGCGGTAGCAGTAGTAGTAGCGGACGCAGTAGTAGCAGCAGACCCCTAAACCCTGAACCCTCAACCCAATAAGCCCCTAAAGGCCCCTAAACCCTAAACCCCTCAAGGAACGCGAACCGTAAACGTTTGGTTCGGGCTTCAGGGCTCGAGGCAGGAACTGTGGTTGAAGCTTACCTAGACCTGCAGTACGGAATACCCCAAGGCTCCTTTAAGGGATCTTTAGGGTTTCGGGTTTAGGGACTCCAATATCCCGTAGTTGAGGAAGATAGGATCCCTGATCTGATATGATTTACAGCACCTAAACCCCGGACCCACCACCCCAAACTCAAGATCGCACTCCCCAAACCCAGAATGCCAAACCGTAAACCGTCCTCGGAGACTCCAAAACTCATGAATTAAGGAATATTCTTCAAATTGTCATAAGCACCCTGATATGATTTTAGGGATGTTCCGATATTCCGTAATTGAGTAATTGAGGGGTTTTGCAGTCTCTGGGTCACGGCCTTCAGGAGTTGGCTCGAAATCTCGGGGCCGACTACGGACGAGGTCACTGGAGAGGAGAGCTGATATTTAGGGTGTGTGTAGGGGTTTAGGGAATAGGGGTTTAGGGAAGGTTTGGGATTTTGTGGTCCGGGGGTGGAGGGTGTAGGGTTTGTCGACCAGACTACTATCGGCGCCTGAGTAGGAAGAAATAGGATTCCTTTTGGGTTCCCTAGAACCTTGGTAATCACTACCAGACCCTAGACCCGATTGCCTGGGCAAAGAGTTCCTCCAAGGCGCGATCTGCGGAGATCCGGCTGCCTTGGAATGCGAGGGGGTTGGGTTCAGGCATAGAGTTCACCTCAAGGCTTTTCGCGTGAAGCTGATGTTGTCTCGGACATTTCGTCTGCGTAGCACTCATGGACTTAGCGGTCGTGCCATATCGAATTCTTTCAGGGACATATTACCCCCAGGAGCCCAGTTACCCATCCAGTGGGTTGCTGTCCCTTAACAACTATATATCAACTGTGGGAGCCCCACTGTCATGGCCTAATATTCCTAAAAAACATGGGTAGTGGGATCCCGAGGTTCGAGTGGAGGTGTCCAGGGCTTTGGCTAGTTTTCGGCTTTGGGGTAAGGCCCGCAACACGGCTCACCATACTTTCACAAAGGGGCCATAGAGGTCAGGGGGCCGTTGGCAGGAGCGGGGTGATGTATGCTAACATCACGTTAAAGCACCCCAAGACATGGCATCAGGAACTGGTCAGGATTCTACATCCTTCAACCCTAAACCCTATTCACAGCGAGGTGCGAAACATCGGCAGCAGAAACGAAAGGATCCTCAAGCTATGGCTAGAAGCTACACCTGATACAGCCGGGATTAAGGACCGGGCAAAAAACAGGAACACTAGCAACAATAATAATAAAACTGCTAGGGTTAAGATAATATTAGAAATCAGAAAGAAGAATTAGACGAATAAGAAAGACAAACCAGGGGAGGTCTTACACTGACTACAGTTGTAGTGATTTAAACCAATTTCCAGGAGTAGTCCTGACAGAAGTTTTGGAGGCATACACTAGTGAAGGCGTGCACTCGATACATGATAATCCTTCACCCTGAACCCTACACCCCTAAACCCTAAAACCCCTAACCCTTAAAACGTTAAACCCTAAAGCCCTAAACCCCAAAACCCTTAAACCCAAAACCCTAGAGCCTGTGCCCCGAACCTGGCAAATCTCTGAGAGTCTGGCGTCCGTCCTCCTCCTCCGGTTCATCTCCTGTTGGCTCCTTCCGATCGGCGAGGATGATGGCTCAGGGCTTTGGGTGCTTTTGGGGTTTAGGGTCTTGGGTTTAGGGGATTCAGGGTTTAGTGATCTCAGGGGTTTGGGGCTTAGGGGCTAGTTTGGGGGTTTGGGGCTTAGAGTGTTGGGTGTAGGGTTGTCGGTAGTTGGTGTAGGGGTTTACAGGGTTGGGGGTTCAGTTTTGGGCCTGGCTGGGCCTTGGGCTCTGAGGGCTTTAGGGTTCAGGCTTTAGGGTTCGGGTTTCTGCCTTGTTAGGGCTTTGAGTCTAGCCTGGAGCTCCAAGTACTGTTCATAAGTTTTAAATCCCAACGCTAAATTCTATGGACGGTTCAGGGTTTGGGTTTTATAGGGTATAAAGGTATAAAGGCGGGGTAGTCGGCACTAGGGCGAAATTCGACATCTTTAACTTGCATGCACATTGGGTTGGCGAGAAAATGGGAGTTTCGGGAATACGGAAACCAAACACAGTCCCTAAACAGGATCCTTGCTATACAGAGCCCTGAGCGGATCCAATATTGACAAACCCCCCAAATGGTTTCATATTCTGCAGTCGGCCGCATCTCCATGACACGCTTATACAGTCCCTAAACCCTAGCCAATGGCTGTACCCAGAACGCAGGCAGACGCCGAGTCTTGCTGAGGTTTTGACAAACTCCTACGGCTCACCCTTCAGGCTCTCCCAATGCATTGCTGGACATGCCATCGTGAAAATAAGGAAGGGGCCTCAATGACTAGAATAGGGTGCTGGGCCCCTGTATGGTATACTTAAAATAAGGAACCCTACACAATTATATTGGTAATTATCTAGGTCCCATAGTAGCCCCTAAAGCCGCCACATAGCCCCAACACCGTCAAGCGATCACACAAATGCGCAACACGGCAGTTCCTGAAGTCCGAAGCTCAAAGACCTGAGGAGCAGTCCAGGATTGACAGGAGAACTTTTACCGATCCGGAAGCAAAGCCGTTGACCTGCGAAGGGAGCTTCGCTCAATCCGCTAGAGCGTAGGGATTCGGTGTCCATGTACTAGGATGCCCAATAACCCTAGGAATAAAAAGGGCTCCTTTTTTGGAATTGGGTAACGTTATAAGGAACCCAGGACTGCAAAATGGGAATATCAGGAACGCTGCGGGATGATGTCCCTCCGCCCTCAACTATCACCTGAGTCGCCTCTCAAGGAACACCCTAGTTTCTGAACCCTCCCAGGTTCATTGCTAAACCCTCAACCGTTCACATAATGTGGGTAACTGTCAAAAATCATGTTTCGGAGCCCAAGAGAGATCCTAATCCACTATACCCCCATAGAGCCATAATGAAAATGCAGGAAACATAATATTATAATCTTCTCTTGGGGTTTATATGAATATAAACTACAGGAAAACGACTCCTGAGGAGACCTTGCTTTAGAGAAATACCCTTGTGAGCGGACTTCTCACGGATGGAAGCTTTCAACCAAGAGTCCAACCTCCTCGAAGCCAGGGATCTATACTAGGGACTCTCAGTTAGGGGCCCTAAGCCCCAAACCCCCTAAACCGCAAGCCCCTAAACCCTTCAACTCTAGAACTAAGGGATGTGCGAGTCTTCGGGATGTTTCTTGGCTACGGACTCCACCGACGGAGTATCGGGCTTAGGACGAAGAAGGTTCAAGGCCTACAAGTTTAGGACGTTTACGAATAAGGCTTCGGATTGAGGAATTTACGGTGTAAGTTGGCGTTGAAGATCTGGGCGTAGACAGCAACAACAACGAAATGCGGATGACTATTGCGGATGTAGGAATGCAGATACGTTTCCCTTGCCCTGTGCACCACACTTTACACACCTATCCCCGCAAGTTTCAGCATGCCCTAACTAAACTCTTACCCTATCCTAGCTCCTATCCCAACAAGCTTCTCCTGGCACTCCAGTTACCTAACTAGTAGCTCACTAACCATACATTATGTGCCCAAGTAACCCCCTAAGCCCTAAACCCCTAAACCCCGTAAACCCTAAACCCCGTAAACCCTAAACCAGTAAACCCTATAGAACCTAAACCCTTCTCTAGGTATCCGGAGCCCTTCAATGCACCAGACCGCATCCTTTTCGAACTGCGGCGGATCGTCACGTTCTCTCATCGCTATGGCACCTGCTCAAGATCACGGTGCCACTGACAAGCCTACTACAGGGCCCTAATAATTGACAGGTATCTCACATAGTTACATGGCACTATAGGCAGTTTATTCAAAAAATAAGGAAAAGAAAAATAATAGCAATACAAGTAATACCAATGGTAATTTCTGTATTATTATGACTAAGATTATGACTACCATTACGCTAACTATTACTTTTACTTTTACTTTTACTACTACTACTACTACTACTACTACTACTACTACTACTACTACTACTACTACTACTACTACTACTACTACTACTACTACTACTATTACTACTACTGCTACTGCTACTGCTACTACTGCTACTACTGCTACTACTGCTACTACTGCTACTACTGCTACTACTGCTACTACTGCTACTGCTACTGCTACTACTATTAATGTTATTACCATTACGATTATGATCATTATGGCTATTTCGATGATGATTATTCATGTTATTATTAGAAACTGAATTTAGGTATGAAGGAACCGCAATACCAACTATTCAGCCCCCCATGGTCCATGCGATCGAGTTGTGCCAGCAGGAGTACATGCTCGGCGGCAATAATGTAGGCAACGAGAATAGGGTTCCATTTAAAGCGTTCCTTAAAGGGGTCTACAAGGGATCTATAGTAGGGGTGTATGATATAGGGGCCTTAACAATGAGAATAAGGTTGTCGGGCCCATTAGACTTATTATATTTGTAATAAGAACCCCCCCCCCCCCCCCCGCAGAAAATAATATAGGTATTTGCCAAGGACCCTATATTAGAATACAAGGCGCGAGCAAGCACCAAGAAAGGGCTCTATGCCGAGACTCGGACGCAAAGAGAGGCTCCTAACTTGTTGGTTAAGACACCTTAATAAAGTGCATCCAGGAAACGCTCATGGAAGTAGGACAACATTGCGTTTTGCAATGGCGTGTTGACACTTGTAAACTCCTGACAACAAATCAGAGCAGAGTGTTCCAGACTCTGCAAGATACAACAACTCGTCTTGGCCAGTCGGGTCCTGGTTCGTGACCAGTTCGTCCTTGGTTTAACATCAGTTAGTTGCAGTCTGCGCATGTAGCAATATTCGTACCATTCGGACAGGAATCGTGGTAACGGGCCACGGAGTGCAGGATGTCTTGAGAAGTCAGGTCGAACTTCTCTTCAACCTTAGACAGACGACTCATAACGAAGTTCAGAACACATCTCAACACATGCTATCTTTGCATGCTTCAGCCTTCGCACCAACCATAGCTTGCAACGTGAGTGTGGCGATCTTGACGTCGTAGGTCGCCTGATTCCGGAACGGCGCGTAAGAAACCCACCCTAGCAGTGCTCGCATCCAGCGCACCTGGCTCTGCAGTGATTCGAACTGCTGAATCATTTTCTTCACCTCCTGCGACAGGCACTATAGGGGCCTTATTAGAGTTTTGGGATTTATTATATTATAGTCATTATAGGGACCCCCCCCAAAATATAATATGGGTAAATATTTAGGCCCCTTTATTACACCGTCTTGACCCATGACCGATGGGCAGCGGCTCCTACAGTAGGTCCTTTCCTTCAGCTGCTGAATTTCGGCAGACTACGACCATGCCGGCCGGGTTGGTCTGCTTTGGGGTTTAGGGTTTAGGGGGCTGTGCTTGTGAACCAACTCTCGAATTGCTTCTTGCAAGCTCCCTCGCTGGGTCCCTCACTGTTAATCTTGTGTTTTTGCTGCCCCCTCTGGCCGTGCGACCACATTCTGCCGTTGGTGTGTGCTATGATCTGTCCACCGCCGCGGTTAGCAGCGCATCCTCCTCGAACTCCAACAGCCGATGCTGCTAGACACGAAGATAGACACTTTGTGCAAGGAAAAAATCAAAGCGGGGGGGGGGGGGGGGGGGGGCGGGGAAAGGCTCTTACTTTGCCCGCAGAGCTGCCCCTCCTCGAGCATGTACTTGTGGACCTCAATGACCTTGTCGACCGGCACCTTGTATACCAAGCTTCTCGCTGTTTATAGCGGTCGGCACAGCTTGCGATGACCGCTGCTACGACTCCTACTGACTCCTACTGCACTACGACGACTACTACTACTACTACTACTACTACTGCTGCTACTACTACTGCTACTACTGCTGCTACTACTACTACTGCTACTGCTACTGCTACTGCTACTGCTACTGCTACTGCTACTGCTACTGCTACTGCTACTGCTACTGCTACTGCTACCGCTACCGCTACCGCTACTGCTAATGCTACTGCTACTGCTACTGCTACTGCTACTGCTACTACTATCACCACCACTACGACGTACCATTACAACTACCACGACAACCACCACAACCACCACCATGACCACGACCACGACCGTGACCACACACAGCTTCAATCCTTGTGAATGGGCACCCGACTCCTGAAAGGAACTTCACTGTCGTGGTCAACAAGATGGCCCGAGGCATTGATGCCGAATATTACATGATCTGAATCCGGGCATGCAAGCGGAAAGACTGACACATGAGACAATGCAACCTCGGCAGTGCCGTCGGTCTTCACTGGCATTCCCACGATGGGACGGATGCCCACCTTCACCTGAGCGTAAAAGCATCTCTTTCGCAACAACTGTTGATGGCAAAGGACCCTGGACTATAGGAATTATGGTATATTCAATGCAGGATTTCTATCATCAACGATATCTTTACCTCATCGCTGCACCAACCGGGCATGCGGCCAAGGGATTGGTCCAATGCCTTTCGAGCAAAGCATCGAACTGCTGCATAGTGAGGCCGTACCTGGGCCCACATTGCATCAAAGGACCCGTAGGGGTTTCGGGTTTAGGAGGGGGGTAGGGGGCCTTAATGCTCATAAAAAGCAACTAGTAAGGCCTACTTAAGGAAGTATAGTTCCCTACCCCACTCGCCCCTACCCTCCCTAAAGGTTCCTATGATTGCAGGCCCCGCACCTTGCAACAACAAGCTAATATACGGGCCTTAAAACTTTAGATAGGGCATAGTATAATTACAATAAGGACCCCCCAAAAAAACACAAAAACATAGCATCGGCAATTATCAAGGCCCCTATATTAATCGGCATTGCAGAGATTGCGCTGGCTGCTTGCTACTGTCTGTAAGGACCCAAACCCGAGACGCGGACCGCTCCAGGACATCATCCGGCCTGGCTTTCAGTCCAAACCCAGCCGCTACTTCAAACCCTACCTATAGTCTCCATCGTAGTTCCTTTTTGGGGTTACCTTTTAGCATCCTAACTTTCAAAATGGTTTAACCAAAAAAAGGATTTACAATGGAGACTATGGGTAAGCCCAAAACCCAAAGCCCTAAGCCCTAAACCTTAACCCCTAAACTCAAGCGGGCAAGGCTTGCTGCACTTCTTTGAGCCGCTTGTAGGACTCGTCGAAAGATAGTTTCCTTGGTGCTTTTAGGCTTGGCTGTCGAGCCGGTCGTGGGAGCTTCAAACAAAACTTTCCAAAGGGTGCGATTACCAACATATTACGTACTATGTAGATAAATGGGCCCCAACAGTATACACTATTCCATACGATTACTGTTACTATTGCTGCTACTCTTGTGTTACTATCATCAGTATTACTTGGGCCCTTTGGGCTTGCACCCACTCTATCCTTTTCCCTACATGTCGGGTATCATGGGGAACGAAAGGTTAACCCTTTTGGTCATATAAGGACTATACTACCCAAAAAAGGTTAAAGGTTGCCTACTCTACTACTCGGTTTCCTGCTTCCAGCACCGGGGCAGTGGCTGACTGATCAACTCTGTGGTCAGATTCTTCACGTTGCCCTGGCTTCTCGGAGACTCCAAGAGGTTCATGGGTAGCTACAAGGGTCCCTTTAAAGGGGGATCTATCGGGATTCTATAAGGGTATGTGGCATGGACCTTTAGGGTCTATTTGGCAATCCTGCTGGGCTTTGTATTTAAACTGCAACAACACCACGGCGACAAGGACGACGACGTTTAGCACGACGACGACTGGGTTCAACACGGCGACGACAAGGTCTGGCACGACGGTTACATCGGGAGGCCGAAGCGTGTACAGTGCAAAGGTCTCGACAGGAGTTTAAGGGTCTAGGGTCTTAGCTCCTAACTATGGTTTACCGGGGTCAGTATACTATGGAAGATCTAAGGTTTGGAGTTTATGAGGATTTAGATGGTTTTACGCTCTCACAAGTTCTCCGTGCTGGTTTTAGGGTCTATCACAGTCTATCACAATGTCCTCCCGTCCCTCTCGCGCCGGGAACCATCAAGAATCTGTCTTGTGTATTTCTCGTCCTGTGTCTTTCTCTCATTCCCGTTCCTCTTCCTGCCTATCCACTCTGCCGTTTGTCAAGAAGACACAGAAATTGAAGTCATGACAGAGGAATAGGCATGAAGATGGACGAAGTGAACTCTTCATTCTCTCGTCTCTCCCTTCTCTCCTTCCTTTGATTGATCCTTTTTCTGTTTCTTTTCTTGTCGCCTTCTGCTGTCAATGACAGGGGTAACACGAGGGAGGGGCAAAGGGACGACGTCAGTTCCTCTCGACGTGGTTCGTTTTTTTCATTTCCTCTCGCGTTGTCTCTCTTCCGCCTCTCTCTCTCTCTCTCTCTTTTTCTCGCTCTGTCTTCCTCTCTGCCGTGTCTCGCTCTCTCATCTCTTCTGTCCCCTCTTTCCTTGCTCCCTTGCTGGAAGGAATAGAAAACAGAAGCGAAGACATAAGATGGAGGAAGATGGTTGGGAGAAGGAAGGTGGATTCCTCCCTCACTCGGCTCTTTGACTTTCTTTGCCCTTGCCTTCTTTTCTCTGCTCCTATCCTTCTTCACAATTAGAAGGAGAAGCGACAAGAACGGAGAGCTCAGGGAGAGCAAGTGACACTGTTCCTCATAATCTCCTCCTTCATCGTGTTCATTGCGTTGTCCATCTCCCCTCTCTCTCTCTCTCTCTCTCGCTCTCTCTCTCTCCCTCCATCCTTTCCTCTCTACTTCTGCACATTTACTTTTCCACTTCTCTCGCCTACTACATTATGCTTGATTTGATACTTATCTTCAACTTTCTCTCACTCTCTTTGTCCCATCGCTTGCCCTGTTCCTTCTCCTCCTCCCTTCCCTGCCTCCCGTCCTTCTCCCCTTATCACTCAGAAGGAAGAAGGAAGACTCACAAGGAGAAAGACAAGGGAGTAAGAAAACAGACAAAAGAAACGGAGAGAGAGCCATAAGGGACGAAATACAGAAACAAAGAGAGAAAATAAGGGGGAAAGATAATCAAAAAGAGAGACAGAAAGAGGAGGCGATGCATAAAGCAGCCGACAGTGCCTTGACCTCCACGTCTATTCATTCTTTGTTCTTGTCCTATCACACTGTCTCATTGGTGATAAACCAGGAAGAGCTTGTGGAGGGAGACGAGGAAGAAGTGTTCTCCTCTTCACTCACCTTGTGCCCTTCCTCTCCCACCGCTCGCCCGCTCTCCTTTCTTTGATTTTCTTGTCTGGCGGAAAAGTGGAAACCAGGAAGGAAAGTGGACAAGGGAAAGGACGAGATTGAGAAATGACAGAAAGAAGAGAGATACAGAGAGAGCGAGGGAGAGCTTCAAGCCCAGCAGAGGAAGAAGAGAGAGGAAGATAAGAGAAGGGGGCAAGGGGTGGCCAGAAGAAGCGTAAGCCAAAGCTACGTATTGAAAGGGCGGAAGCCCCATTCTCCTCTTCTTCCTCTTTGCTCTCTTGATTTTCTCTTAGCGCAGGGCATGCATGGAGCTAGGAAAGGGAAGGGGTCAAAGCGGATGAGAGAAAGTAACGGAGAGAGCTGTTCTTCGTCCCTCTCACCTCCTCCTCTCATTCTCCTGATGCTTACTCATGTCAGAAGGGGCTGGAAAGGAGTGAAGGCTAGGGCATGGACTGAAGCGAGGCAATAGGTGAAAGTGGATAAGAGAAAGTCGGGGGACGTCGAGTGCGAAAGAAAGAGAAACGAGGAAGACTAGGAAGAAGGACACAGAAGAGGAAGCGAGAGAGTACCAGTGTTGCCGTATCTCAAAGGACTCCGGGCCTCGCGAGGGCTTTGAGTAGGCTTGTAGGCGCCTTCAGGCACTTCCACAACTTTCTGGAGGCCACCAACTTCCTCCCTAAGGGAGCCTCCCGAGGACATGAACACCAAACCGAGTATAAAGAAAGCAGGGGGATGTAGAGAAGCAGAGTGTGGTAAGAAGGAGAAAGGAGACTCAGTTCGCGTCTCCTCATCGTTTCCTTTTTGAATGACCAGAGGAAAGAAAAGGATAAGAAGGAGGAAAGGCTCTGCGAAGACATCAGGAAAGAAGAGCAGACAACAGAAAGGAAGCGGTGAGATGCGGGAAGACGGTTCGCAGAAGAAAAGAGAATTCCTCCTTCGCTCGCCTCTCTTACTTCCTTGCCCTTCGCCTTCTTCCTCTTCTCTTACCCTATTCATCTTCATAAGGAAGGAGAAATGAAAGGAACGGGGAGTTCAGGGCATGCAAAGGGCACTCTTTCTCATCACCTCATCCATCCTCCTTTTCATTGTTCTCTCCAGATCCCTCTTTCTCTCTCCCTCCCTTCCCGTCTACTTCTGCACATTCCCTTTTCCGCTTCTCTCCGCCTATTATGTTCGCTTTGATAAAATCGCTTGCCCTACTCCTTCTCCTCCTGGCTTTCCTGCCTCCCGTCCTTCTCCCTCTATCACTCAGAAGGAAGAAGGACGATTCACAAGAAAGAAGCGTAAGCCAAAGCTACGTAATGAAAGGGCGGAAGCCCCTGTCTCCTCTGTTCTTCCTCTTTTCTCTCTTATTTTTCTCTTAGCAAAGGGCACGCATGGAGCTAGGAAAGGGACGGGGTCAAAGCGGATGAGAGAAAGTAGCGGAGAGAGCTGTTCTTCGTCCCTCTCACCTCCTCCTCTCATTCTCCTGATGCTTGCTCATGTCAGAAGGGGTTGGAAAGGAGTGAAGGCTAGGGCATGGACTGAAGCGAGGTAATAGGTGAAAGTGGATAAGAGAAAGTCGGGGGAAGTCGAGTGCGAAAGAAAGAGAAACGAGGAAGACTAGGAAGAAGGACACAGAAGAGGAAGCGAGAGAGTACCAGTGTTGCCGTATCTCAAAGGACTCCGGGCCTCGCGAGGGCTTTGAGAAGGCTTGTAGGCGCCTTCAGGCACTTCTACAACTTTCTGGAGGCCACCAACTTCCTCCCGAAGGGAGCCTGCCGAGGACATGAATACCAAACCGAGTATAAAGAAAGCAGGGGGATGTAGAGAAGCAGAGTGTGGTAAGAAGGAGCAAGGAGAATCAGTTCGCGTCTCCTCATCGTTTCCTCTTTGAATGACCAGAGGAAAGAAAAGGATAAGAAGGAGGAAAGGCTCTGCGAAGACATCAGGAAAGAAGAGCAGACAACAGACAACAGAAAGGAAGCGGTGAGATGCGGGAAGACGGTTCCGAGAAGAAAGGAGAATTCCTCCTTCGCTCGCCTCTCTTACTTCCTTGCCCTTCGCCTTCTTCCTCTTCTCTTACCCTATTCATCTTCATAAGGAAGGAGAAATGAAAGGCACGGAGAGTTCAGGGCATGCAAAGGGCACTCTTTCTCATCACCTCATCCATCCTCCTTTTCATTGTTCTCTCCAGATCCCTCTTTCTCTCTCCCTCCCTTCCCGTCTACTTCTGCACATTCCCTTTTCCGCTTCTCTCCGCCTTTTATGTTCGCTTTGATAAAATCGCTTGCCCTATTCCTTCTCCTCCTGGCTTTCCTGCCTCCCGTCCTTCTCCCTCTATCACTCAGAAGGAAGAAGGACGATTCACAAGAAAGAAGCGTAAGCCAAAGCTACGTAATGAAAGGGCGGAAGCCCCTGTCTCCTCTGTTCTTCCTCTTTTCTCTCTTATTTTTCTCTTATCAAAGGGCACGCATGGAGCTAGGAAAGGGAAGGGGTCAAAGCGGATGAGAGAAAGTAGCGGAGAGAGCTGTTCTTCGTCCCTCTCACCTCCTCCTCTCATACTCCTGATGCTTGCTCATGTCAGAAGGGGTTGGAAAGGAGTGAAGGCTAGGGCATGGACTGAAGCGAGGCAATAGGTGAAAGTGGATAAGAGAAAGTCATATACAGAGAGTGGGGGAAGTCGAGTGCGAAAGAAAGGGAAACGAGGAAGACTAGGAAGAAGGACACAGAAGAGGAAGCGAGAGAGTACCAGTGTTGCCGTCTCTCAAAGGACTCCGGGCCTCGCGAGGGCTTCGAGGAGGCTTGTAGGCGCCTTCAGACACTTCCACAACTTTCTGGAGGCCACCAACTTCCTCCCTAAGGGGGCCTCTGGAGGACATGAACACCAAACCGAGTATAAAGAAAGCAGGGGGATGTAGAGAAGCAGAGTGTGGTAAGAAGGAGCAAGGAGAATCAGTTCGCGTCTCCTCATCGTTTCCTTTTTGAATGACCAGAGGAAAGAAAAGGATAAGGAGGAAGGGCTCTGCGAAGACATCAGGAAAGAAGAGCAGACAACAGAAAGGAAGCGGTAAGATGTGGGAAGACGGTTCGGAGAAGAAAGGAGAATTCCTCCTTCGCTCGCCTCTCTTACTTCCTTGCCCTTCGCCTTCTTCCTCTTCTCTTACCCTATTCATCTTCATAAGGAAGGAGAAATGAAAGTAACGGAGAGTTCAGGGCATGCAAAGGGCACTCTTCTCATCACCTCACCATCCTCCTTTTCATTGTTCTCTCCAGATCCCTCTTTCTCCCTCCCTCCCTTCCCGTCTACTTCTTCACATTCCCTTTTCCGCTTCTCTCCGCCTATTATGTTCGCTTGGAAAGAATCGCTTGCCCCCTATTCCTTCT